GGTGATTTTTCAGGGATTTTGGAGATTTTGGGGGTCGATTCCTCGAAGGTTTTTTCCTTCATATTTATGGGGTTTTTTTTGCCATTTTCTGGCATTTTTTCCCCATTTTGGGGGAATTTTCCCCCAATTTTAGGCTTTTTCTCTCATTTTTGGTGATTTCTCCCCATTTCTGGGATTTTTTGGTGAATTTTGGGGGATTTTTTGAGGATTTTTTGGGTTTTTTCCCCTATTTTTAGGGTCCATTCCTCGAAGGTTTTTTTCTTCATATTTATGGGGATTTTTTGCCATTTTCTGGGATTTTTTCCCCATTTTTTGAGAATTTTCCCCCAATTTTAGGCTTTTTCTCTCATTTTGGGGGATTTCTCCCCATTTCTGGGATTTTTTGGTGAATTTTGGGGGATTTTTTGAGGATTTTTTGGGTTTTTTCCCCTATTTTTAGGGTCCATTCCTCGAAGGTTTTTTTCTTCATATTTAAGGGGATTTTTTGCCATTTTCTGGGATTTTTTTCCCTATTTTTGGGATTTTTGCCCCAATTTTGGGACATTTTTCCCCATTTTGGGGATTTTTCCCCCATTTTTCCCAATTTATGGGATTTTTTTGGTGATTTTTTGGGTGATTTTGGGGTTTTTGGGGTCGATTCCTCGAAAGTTTTTTGTCCTCATATTTCTGAGAATTTTTTGCCATTTTCTGGGATTTTTTCCCCATTTTTTGGGATTTTTTCCCCAATTTTGGGACATTTTTCCCCAATTTGGGATTTTTCCCCCATTTTGTCCCATTTTTGGGATTTTCTTGATGATTTTTTGGGTGATTTTGGGGTTTTTGGGGTCGATTCCTCGAAGCTTTTTTTCTTCATATTTATGGGGATTTTTTGCCATTTTCTGGGATTTTTTCCCTATTTTTGGGATTTTTTCCCCAATTTTGGGACATTTTTCCCCAATTTGGGATTTTTCCCCCTTTTTGTCCCATTTTGGGGATTTTTTTGGTGATTTTCTGGGTGATTTTGGGGTTTTTGGGGTCGATTTTTCGAACGTTTTTTTCTTCATATTTATGGGGATTTTTTTTGCCATTTTCTGGCATTTTTTCCCCATTTTTTGGGAATTTTCCCCCAATTTTAGGGTTTTTCTCTCATTTTTGGGGATTTCTCCCCATTTTTGGGATTTTTGGGTGAATTTTGGGTGATTTTTCGGGGATTTTTGGGGTTTTGGGGGTCGATTTTTCGAACGTTTTTTTCTCCGTCTTTGTAAACATTTTTTTGCCATTTTCTGGGATTTTTTTCCCATTTTTTGGGAATTTTCCCCAATTTTAGGGTTTTTCTCTCATTTTGGGGGATTTCTCCCCATTTCTGGGATTTTTTGGTGAATTTTGGGGGATTTTTCGGGGATTTTCGGGGTTTTGGGGGTCGATTTTTCGAACGTTTTTTTCTCCGTCTTTGTGAACATTTTTTTGCCATTTTCTGGGATTTTTTCCCCATTTTTTGGGAATTTTCCCTCAATTTTAGGGTTTTTCTCTCATTTTGGGGGATTTTGCCCCATTTTTGGGATTTTCTTTTGTGATTTTTGGGGGATTTTGGGGGGATTTCGGGAGTCGGTTCTTCAAAAATGTTTTTCTTCACCTTTATGGGGATTTTCTCCCATTTTCTGGGAGTTTTTGCCCCATTTTGGGGGATATTTTCCCCATTTTTGGGGATTCTTTGCCCATTTTGGGGATTTTCCCCATTTTGGGGATTTTTTTGGTGATTATTTGGGATTTTGGGGGGATTTTTCCCCTATTCTTTGGGTCGCATCCTCAAAGGTTTTTTTCTTCATATTTATGGGGATTTTTTGCCATTTTCTGGCATTTTTTCCCCATTTTTTGGGAATTTTCCCCCTATTTTAGGGTTTTTCTCTCATTTTTGGGGATTTCTCCCCATTTATGGGATTTTTTTGTGTTTTTTGGGGGGATTTTTCGGGGATTTTCAGGGTTTTGGGGGTCGATTTTTCGAAGGCGTTTTTCTGCGTGTTTATGAACATTTTTTTGCCATTTTCTGGGATTTTTTTCCCTATTTTTGGGACTTTTCTCCAAGTTTTGGGACATTTTTTCCCATTTTGGGGATTTTTCCCCCATTTTGCTCAATTTATGGGATTTTCTTGATGATTTTTTGGCTGATTTTGAGGTTTTTGGGGTCGATTCCTCGAAGCTTTTTTTCTCCGTATTTATGGGGATTTTTTTGCCATTTTCTGTGATTTTTTTTCCCCATTTTTGGGATTTTTTCCCCAATTTTTGGACA